TACAACGGCAACTGGTGGGACACCAGTGGGACCACCCTGAGATCTCAGCAACATTTTCCCAACCAGAGCTGCCAATGAATGTAGCCCTGTATTTCTTACTGGAGGTCAGAGAAAGAATGAGAATAAGTAAAACACCCAGAATTCCTGCATGGTGGCATACAAGCATACGAGAGGTACTGCACTTGATGTACTTGAAGCTCCCAAACCACATCTCACTAATACACTTACTTCAACTAGAAATTTCCTCTTCCTTGAGTAGTTCTTCAATTCCAGCAGGTAATTACAAAACCTCTTTGGCACCAGAACTGCTGTGATGCACTGCAAATCCATGTATTCCTTTTGGACAGATGTCTATGGCATCACAGTCCCAGCTCAGGTTTAACATTCCTGCTGATGCTTCTATATTGTTCCTAGAGAATGTAGCAGCACTTTGGGCTTCATTTAGATTTTGAATACAAGGAGGTAAATATTTTTACATGCTCCAAGAGCAGACAATACAGAGATCCATGAGAAAAACAAACAAGCAAACAAACCAACACTGAATTCTGCAAATGCACACTAGACATGGTTACATGATTAATATACATAAAAATAGTACATAGGACCTGTATAGTAGGGCCTTTAGAAGGTAACTGTCTATCAGAAAGACCTTTGTTCTCATAGGTTTTATTATGTTTATCTTTTCTAAGAAATAAGCAAAATTATATTAATCAATCTAGAGTATTTGTTTACACATCTCCAAAATAGTAGTTTTGTTTTTTTTTTAATCAATTTTCTCCACCATTCCAGATTATTCAGATTATTATCTAGATTGTGAGAATTGTTCCACCAGTTCTTAGCAGAATTGTTCACCTCAAGGCTGTTTCTTTCTGCATGATCTCTAGCTTGTGTTAGGATATTATATGAAAGACATTTTTATTTGACGTTTCATAGAGGCTTATCTTTATATTTCATTTCAAGCCACTTCATTCAAATCAGTTGAGATTATCCATCTCACCCCAAATCCACAATGGCTAGGAATGCTTCTTCACAGAGCTTGTCAAGCAAAGCCCTCCATTTGCTATTTTTAAGACTGCTTCCTTGTTTACATCGGAGAACCTCTTTGACCAATTTGTTTCTTTCATCTTCTCATAAGCTTTTTCTCTTCCCAGAGGAAGGAAAGCTCCTTTGGCTTGAGCTCCAGTGCAATGGAGATAGTGCAAAGAAGGGCAGGGAATGCGGAATTCTTCTGGCAACAGCAGCAGCTGGATTAAATTCATGGCCTCTCAGCTTCAATGTAAGGCAAAGAGATGCAGTACAGCCTGAGCTCACCGAATGCTATCAGGTCACTGAAATGGGAGGACTTCTGTTGCCCCATGTCCACCTACGCATCCTTGCCTCTTCCCCTACCCTAGCTTTGATGCTCATCTCACTTCTCAACAAGTCAGTTCAGCTTTCTGAAGTTCAGGAAAACAAGCTCTGCAAAAAATAGCTTTCTGCAGAGCTAAGAGATGGGTTAAAGTAACAACACAGTGACTGCCATCCACATCAGTGATGCTTTTAGTCACTGTTTACCAGAAAGGCTTGGTAGTGGGGCAGAACTAGGCCCTACAGGAGGGACACCAAACAAAGCGCCCTTGAGAGGCTGTGTTTTGTTTAACTTTTGGTTTGAGAACAAATCCGTAGAGAGTGCAGCTGTATTTTCGACCACAAGATGGTGCCAAAAGTGTTCACTATGAAGTGATGCTTATTGAAACCATCCCCCAAAGTCTGCTGACAAATCTGCTTTGCTTAAATCCCTACTGCTAAAAGTAAGAAACTATGAATGAAGATTTAATGACCAAATCAAGTATAATTCACATGCATCATGAACATGAACATGTATCACATTCTCTCCACAGTCTCAGGAAAATCCTGTTGTTTTTTTTCTCCCAGGCTTCCTTCCTCTTAAGTGCAATAGCCTCAATCTGTAGAAGCTGTGTACATTTAATTACATCATGCATCTTTGAAACCATACTCTCTGCCTACCCTCAATGCCACTGTCGCACATTCAAGTGTGTTTTGATTACGCTGATTTCATTAAAATATAATGAGTAATGAGACTCTGAAACTACTGAAATGAAGTATCTCTTTGGCGGGCATTACACATGACCATCTTCCTCAGGCCTGTTAAGTGAAAAAGATATTCTTGCCAGTTTGCAGCACTGTGTACGGGAACAACATGTTTGTAAAATACATTTCTTAAAATCACCCATGGTCACTGAATGCAGACAGATCACTCAGAAGGCTGCACAGGCCAAAGTACAGGGGAGAGAGGCAAAGCCCTTCTCCATGTCAGCTGCCTCACTGATACCTTATTCCAGCCATTAACACTGTTCAGGCTGCAAACACCACACTGTGAGCACTGCCCTCTATGGCATGGTGACCTCCAGTGAGCCTTAAGGTCCTGGCGAAGCAGTAAACAAAGTTGTGGAGAGAACTGCTATGAAAACATGGAAAAGTATGTTGTTATATGAAGAACATATAGGATCTAGCAAAAAGAACAGTAAAATAGGCTTCTTGTGCATATTTTGTGGCTCAGTCCCACGTGTGAGAATGCTAGTAATCACTTTTAAAGCAACAAAGTCAGCTATGGACTGACAGAAGACAAAGGCACTTTTCTTTCATAAATATGTTTGGAAAACACCTCCATTTTTTAGAGAGGGCAGCATTTACACTTTTCATATGATTTCAGTCTTCAGGAAATCAGTTCTGATGCAGCCTAAGTCTTAGCTCATTAACAAAGGGTGTTTTATTTCTCCCGAGCCCTTTAGAAATTGACATGCCACTGATTAATTTAGTCTTGGTGACCACTGTGGCAGGAATGCAGTTTCTGCTCACGTAGATAGAATCGGCAAACAGGGACAGGAGAGCTGAAACCACAAAGTAATTCAGTGGCAGGGGCTAACAGCTCTTCACTTGAGACTCATTGCTTGCAAGCAGTGTAAATGGACAGCCAAGATAGGCACATGTGCTTCTAATCAATCATCTCACCTCCTGGCCTTCCAGCATGTCATCAGTCCCAAAACTGCCTGTCAGGCTCTTGGACCTGTTCCGTTTCCTCAACACTCAGGCCAGGGGATGTCCAACCATCCTGTGTTAAGCACATGTTCTGTTGGCACGCCAAGATGAGAAAGTGCCACAGAAGACAGTGTTTTATGTTCTCAATTTTATTTTAAAAGTTTATGCTTCATTTTTGTGCATAAATTTTCTATGACAGTGTAATGGCTGGTACCAAAGGGAATGATTCTGGACCTGGTAGCTCTAAATCACAGAATCATAGAATGGCCTGGGTTGAAAAGGATCACAATGATCATCTAGTTTCAATCCCCCTGCTATGTGCAGGGTCAGCAACCACCAGACCAGGCTGCCCAGAGCCACATCCAGCCTGGCCTTGAATGCCTCCAGGGAACGGTCATCTGGTGCCAGGAATTAATTCTCTCCTGCAGAGTATGACTGGCCTGGTGTCTGCAATAGTTATGCAAATATTCCTCAGTTACAGCAGGATTTGGGAAATGATGGTTGAGAGGATTACTTCTGCTAGCAACCACGCAAGCGATACGACAAACCCAAATGATGAAGCAACAGTCCAGTACAGACAAATGGCTGGCTCTTTGACTTAGTCCTCTTCTCACACTCCCTCTTCTACCATCATTTCATCTTCAATGCCGTTAGTATAGACAGAGCTCAAGGCAAAGGCAGCATCTGAACACCACATGAGCAATTGCCGCCGCAGACGTTTTCTGCACAGCACAGTGCTAACACAGGCAGTCAATTCTGCTATTTTGCCTACAGCTGGCACTTTGATTTTGTGACTGCTGCTACCAGTATATGGCTTAATAAATATTATTTCTGACCTAATGTGCATGTTGTCTCATTTTATTACCTTTTTTTTTTTTTTTACTCGCCCTGAGCTCCAAAGGAAATCAGTTCAATAGAGTAATGTTACTGCGTGTAGATCTGGTCACAAATACTGCTCACAGGGCTACAAAACCCACTGTTTGCATAGCACAGCTGGGATCTAAGTGAAGCCAGGAGAAAACAGCGAGAGCTCTGGCAGCCTGTAAAGCAGTGGTGTGATGTGCTGATACCAGTGGGCACCCGAGAGCACTGAGCAGGGTTACAGGGACCTAACGGCTCCATAATGAAACACGTTGCTTCTACGCACCTCTTCCTCACAGGAAAAAAACAAAAACAAAAAACACACGCAAAAAAAAAAAAACAGGAACTGGAAAACACAAGAGAGAAGAGAGATTTGGTCGTAAGCTTGGTTTCTCGTGCGATTTCAGAAAGCAATTCAAAGTAGCAGAAAAGGAACGTAAGAAACACCCAAATGAAGCCCTCTGATTTAAATTATTCCATAGCATCACAGAATGGCCAGGGTTGGAAGGGACCTCAAGGATCACGAATCTCCAACTCCCCTGCCACGTGCAGGGCCACCAACCTCCCCATTTAACACTAGACCAGGCTGCCCAGGGCCCCATCCAACCTGGCCTTGAACACATAACTTCATTAAAGCAGCCCTATTCGCCCCACCCCCTCACACTTGCAACCAACGCTCCCCACTTGCCTATCTCGACCTACCCCACACCAGCATACGCCCCACAGCCGCGGAGCCTTGACACGGAGCCCTCGCTCCCTGACTGGCTTGTTCAGCTGTCAATCAGAGCTTATTCCCACCCCCTACGCAGAGCCCGCCCTCCAGGTTCGCAACTCCTTCCAAATCAGTCAGTTGTCCATTTGTTCCTGTGAGGTTCGGCCTCCGATTATACGGGCGAGTGGGAGTAATGGTGCAGAGCTCTCCCGCGATCTGATTGGCCGAATGGAAGCGCCACTCAAACCAAAGCTCCTTCCCCATCGCGGCAGCATCCAGCTGACCGCTCGGTCCCGTGACAAGGCGGGGGAGGTTTCGCAGCCGAATGGTCAGATCCGCTGTCACTCTCGCAGAGTCCCGCCCCGCCGCCCGAACCTCGCCTGCGGATTGGTCGCGACTCCCGTCCTCGACAGGCGGGCGCTGGGGGTTTTCCGTGCGGCGCTGCAGCGCGGCGTTTTCTCGGCGGGGTCCGGCGGCACAGCGGGCGGAATGGCTGTCCGCGGCTTGGCGGTGGCCGTACTGCTGGCTTCGGCCTGTCTCGCCGGTGAGCCGACGGGGCTGGGGCGTGAGGGAGCCGGGCCGCGGTTGTAGGGACGGGGCGGGGGCTGCAGTCCTGTGAGCCTCGGGCCTGGGGGCCGTGACGCTGACCGCTGCGGCTGTCACCGCTGTCAGGGGGCCTCGGTGGTGCCGGGCGAGGGAAGGTCGGTGTGAGATGCTGCAGGCTGAGCCAATGGTGAGGCCACACCTCCAGTGTTGGGTCTCTCGCTGCAGGAAAGGCATTGAGGCCCTGGAGCATGTCTGGGGAAGGGCAGTGAAGCTGTGAGGGGTCTGGAGCACAAGTCTGATGGGGAGCGGCTGGGGGAACTGGGGTTGTTCGGTCTGGAGAAGAGGAGGCTCTGGGGAGACCTCATTGCGCTCCACAGCCACCTGAAAGGAGGTTGTGGTGAGGTGGGGATTGGCCTCTTCTCCCAGGTAACAGCGATAGGATGAGGGGGAATGGCCTATCCCTCCAAGAGGGATTCAAGTTGGATGTTAGGAACAATTTCTTCTCAAGAGTGTTGAGGCAGTGGCACAGGCTGCCCAGGGAGGTGGAGAAGTCACCATTCCTGGAGGTGTTGAAGAACCGTGTGGATGTGGCACTGAGGGACGTGGGCGGTGTGATGGGCTGCTGTTGCGCTTGGTGATCTTAGGGGTCTTTTCCAACCTTCTATGAAAAATGCATATAGCAATTTTGTGAATTCCTTCTCAAACAAATGAGTACGGAAGCGTTGCTGCCATGCAGAGCATGGGGATATGAACTGCTGTGCCATTAACATTGACAGCAGGCCATCCAGTACCAACATAAAACTAAGCCGTATTTGGATCTACATTCTATGCATCTGTCAGTCCAGCCCATTTTCCTCCTGCTCTCCTTTAACCTATGCACAGTACTTTGGTTCTGTGGTGTTTGTTGTAATATGGCTCAGGTTTACTGTCAACACTGTATGCAGAGTCACAACCAGGCTTTAAAGTAACATCCTCAAGGTCAGATTGGTTGTCATTTTTCTTAACATTTGTTTAACCTCAATGTACTGTTTTTTTTTGTTTTTTTTTTTTCCTTTTGCATTTGCTTGTTGATAGACACATTTGCACCAAGTATGTTTTAAAATCAATTCAGGTAGGCAGCTGGGTGCTTGCATGCAGACAGCATTGTCATCATGTGTTAAATTGAACTATCCCATCTCTCATTTTTATGGAGTCCGCTCTGACTCTCTTACAAAATAAATATCATCCCACTGTACTGATTTCAGTACTGACTTTCAGTCCACTTTATTACTGAGGGTAATGTGGAATAGAGTGAAGGGGGAACCCAATATGAGAGGTCCTGTGGGTTGTGGCTATGCACTGCCAGCCTTGGTCCAGTACTGCATGATGAAAAAGAAATGTCTTGTGGCCTTCTGTGCCTGAGAGGTCAACTGGAGCTGTTCTGCAGGAGCATGATTGCTACTGGCAGTGCTCTGCTTCAGCCAGTGCAGGTGGACTTAGCTGGTCCTGTCTGCTCTGGGTTCAGTGGCTCAGGCTGTTGTTTGCACAGAAAGAGTTTTTATGCCAAGCAGTTCAGGAAGAAATCAGCTGTGCTGGTGTGTAGCAGGGTGTTTTGAGCCTTCCTGACTTTGCTGAGGGCTGGCTTCACTGGTTCTGCATTGTAACACTTAAATCATGATGAGTGTACATGTATGTACTGTGCTGTTGCCTTAATCCAAATGTGGATTTATCCATTCGTAGTCTTAGCTATATAGAAACCTTATCCTGTGTTCCAGAGCACAAAAACAAACGTTACTCATTACTTAACTGTGCCCAGGTGGACAGTTGTGAGGAGGACAAGAATGAATGAAAAGTCCAGCGTGCTTTGTTTCTGTGGGGGGAGGGAAGACTGTAACAAATTGACAGTACTTTTTGCTTGGTTTTAGGTGTGTGTGGGGATGAGTTCAGTATCTTGCGCTCACCTCAGTCAGTTGTTTTTCGAGATGGAGGCTGGCCAATCCCTGGCGATCGGATCCCAGATGTAGCTTCGTTATTCATGGGCTTCTCTATTGAAGAGGTAAGTTTGGGGTCTTGGCTGCAAAACGACTCTAGAATTACAGAGCTGCTTGGTTAACATGCTTCCTGTCATGTGTTGGAATATATAAGATATTGTCCTGTTTATTGTGAGGCATGTATGACTTAACAGTGTGGTTTCCAAGTGCAGAGTTGTACTGGTCATATGAGCAGAAAAAAGGGCTGTGCTTGCTGGCTGGTTTGAGTCATCAGCTACAGAAGGAAGCAAACCTGCAGAGGCTTTAGCAGTGTTCTTCAGTTGTTCTGAGACCCATCTGCATGTGTTCCTGCCCCCATGCACTTAGCAGACAAACAGTTTCACTTAGGATGCTTAGGAAATAATCCAAAGACTTGAAAACCTAATTTGTTTGCCAAATTAGACTTTTGAGTATAGCTTCAACGATATTTGACTTGTGGCAGGTGAGTAGGTGCCCATGGCTTTATTCCAAGTTGCCCAGTGAATTTTCCCCTGGGCTTCAGAAGGGGTGAGTGGATACTGAAGTAGCACATGCAAGTTTTTAATGGCAGGGTGTCTCCAGCAGAGACACGCAACCAGATACTCAAAGCAGCAAGTTGGGATATTCTTGCAGTGCTAGTAAGGGCAGCTACTTCCTTTTCTTCCGTATTGCAGCTGGGCAAGAGGCCTGATAACTCTGTTTTGAATACAGGCTGTTTAACTGTGTTTAGGAACTTGTCTGAAAGTACTGTGCTGTCAGTTATGCTTTTAATCATACATTAGTGACACTTAAGCTTAGTAATCGCAGTACGTATACACGTAATATTTTATCAAGAAAAAGTAGCACAGATGGTCCTGCATGCATTGCATGTAAAGAAGCTCACCAGAGTAGTGGGTTTTGGCTCGTTTAGAGAGCTTGACTTTCAGCATACTCATCATCCTCATGTAGAACATCTTTATAAAGAGAAAGAGGTGATTTGGTACTCGCTCTGTTCTATTAGCAAAACTAGGAATTGATTAGCTTTTATGGGCCCACAGAACCATTTAGAAATAGTTCTTTTTTATTATTATTCTTTCAATCCTGGAAGACAAAGAAGGAAGCTCTTCAAATTGCTTTATGTAGTTAAACCCTGAAATTGAAAACTTCTGTCAGCATTGTCACTAAAGCAGAGGTTATGATGTAGGCAGCTTCCCACACTGGTATTGAGAGTACCAAGAGTCCATAATGCTCATTTTGCAGTTTACATCAAGGCTGTAGTCCAGGAAAAGAATCTGATGGTGCAGCAGGTTGGGATTTTAGAATACCTACTGCATCACACTAGACATTCTCAAATACAGTCATGAGATATTCTCTTCCTATTATGGGAAGGTCGAACTGAACTTTGTTTTTGTCTCTATTGATGCTGTAAAAGGTTTCTCTTTTATTGAAGGTGATACAGTTCATAATATCAATGGTATTTCAAATCCAAACCCCAAATAATTTGGTTTCATGAAGCTTAGGCGTTTATATTTTTTACACAAATGGAGAACTTTGAACTCAGTGCCTGAAAACTTGTAAGTGGTGAATTGTCTAACTAATGTTCCTCCCTGTATTTCTTTCTCATATTGAAGTATCAAGATGTCAGTGTTTTAATGTGCCCAAATACATTTTGGTGCTATTTTATGAAGGTGTTTTTTCTTTTTCTTTTTCTTTTTTTTTTTTAAATCAAAGCTTCACTTTCTAAATAAAGCCTATTCTTCTGCTTTAGTTATGGGATGTATCTCTTAAAATATTTGTACAGTGCTCTCTCAGTGCATGCTTTCTTACAAACTTGCTGATAGCTTTTTAATTAACAGTTTCTTTGTGATTAACTTGAGAAGTGTTTTGTAAGGTGGAACTGTTCCTGTGGTATGTACTTGCCACGAATTTCCAACAGGCTGTCCTGTACAGAGATATCTACAAGACACTAATTAATTTTGCTGTAATGGTCAGGATGGGTTCCTTTGTATTTCTTCCTCTGAAATACAAGTGGTGGTGGTGGTTGTAGTTTGTTTTCACTATTCTCTAATAGGACCTTCCCTGGCCTGGGCTTGCAGCGGGCGATCTGTTTCACAGGCCCCGAGCTGCTGTGTTAGTGACTGTGAAAGGAGTGGACAAGCTGACATTGCCTGCAAAAGGAATCTCTTACCCTATCGAGAATGTGAGTATGCATATCTGGAGCAGTCATGCAACTCTTACATTCTGATTACAAGACTTCCTACCATAGTGCTTGATGTTCTCATCGTTTTAACTTTGCTTGAAGTTCATGTATCTCCCCTTTGAATGATGGGTCAGGCTGTAGTCATGAATAACCCAGTCTGACTCTGACCTAGGCTTTCCTTTTTGGGTTCAGTAAAACTGTTGAAGATTGTCAGAACCAGACCGTGTAGCATACCTAACATGCAGACCCCTTAAATATAAAGAAACCTTCAGTCATATTCACACTTGAAACTTCATGACAGTTCTGGTGTACTTAGTCCACATTTCCTGTATATCCCATTAATAAAAAAAGAAGGTTTCTAGTCTTTAATTGTTTCAGAAATTGCTGCTGTGGCTTCAGATGAGCTGCCCCAAAGTTGCTCTGGCAAACTACTAGATCTCCAGTATTGATGAATAATTTCAAATGATCATCACTGAGTCACTAGTTTCTGTCTTACCCAAAAATCTAACTAGACTTTGTGTTTCAGGCTGTTCCTTTCAGTCTGGACAGTGTTGCAAATGCTATTCATAATTTGTTCTCTGAAGAAACTCCTGTAGTCTTGCAGCTGGCCCCCAGTGAAGAAGTGAGTATTGCTTCGGTTCTGATAGCTGATGCTCTAGGTGGTAAAACAAACTTGTATGACCAGAGCAAAAAGAGTTACTATATGAAAATGTCTTGCTTTGGAGGGTGATTTGCAAGCATGGTTGATAATTACTGTGTGGTTGGAGAGCTAAGGAGGGTTGTAAAGTAAAGAGCCAGCAGGGGGTTGTTAGAGTTAGGGTAGTTTGGTTAGGTTGTGGTTGGACTTGATTATCTTTAAGGTGTTTTCCAACCTGGGCGATTCTATGATTCTAACTTCTGTTCTTGTTGTACAATGGCTGTTCCTGCAGCGAGTGTACATGGTGGGCAAGGCAAACTCTGTATTTGAAGATCTTTCTGTCACGCTGCGCCAGCTGCGGAACCGCTTGTTCCAGGACAACTCCATTCTCAGCTCCCTTCCTCTCAATTCACTCAGCAGGAACAATGAGGTAAAAAAGCCATAAAGAGTACTTCTACAGTTAGTGTTTTTTCCTAAGATGCTTTTCTATTTTCCCTTTTTTTCCTGCGCTGAGGAGAACTCCCCCTTTTTTTCCTAACTGACTTCTAAGAACTAAGGTTTTAGTTCTTGTGTAAGCGTTATTAAAAGAATAATTTCCTTCTAGCGAGTTTTGATGCTGCAACAGATACTGTCTGTTCTAAAATATATAGAGTTAAAACATAACGAGGCTTCTCAAACTCTGGTGCCATCAAAGCAATTACCCATCTTTGTCTTTGTCCTCAGGTTGACTTACTTTTTCTCTCAGAACTGCAAGTTCTACGTGATATTGTAAACCTGGTAAGACTTATTTTTTTTATTTTTTACTTTTAAACACTTCCATTACACCTGAGGTCTCAGACTTCACACACATTATTTAAAGGTAGTGAATCCATGGCCAGGATACTTGCAACCAGTGTTATGCACTCAAGCGTGTCATTACTGGGTTGCATCAGTTTAAATAATGCATTCTCAAATTATTTGTTACTGATGGAAGAAAATGAGAACTTCAGTCATTTGTAGCTTCTTTTGTGTTCTGTTTACTGAGAGCAGAGGGCATTCTAAATTACTCTTTCTCCGTACCCTGAAGAAATACTCTGTGAGAAACTTGCTGAGTTTTCCTTATTTTCTTGCTTGAGAAGCATAATGGTAGTTAAGAACATGCTCTTTGCCCTGTCACCTACTTCAAAATGTCACTAATGTTTGCTCGAAAAGGATGCATTGACTTATGTGGCGTGAACAGTGGTAGTGATAGAAATGTTACAACAGAAGGATGAGCTTTTAATTATGATCTTTTTAAGCAAGAAGCTTCTCATCTTTGTACTATGGAGCTCCTGTCTTGTTGCTGTTTTTTTTTTTGTTTTTTTTGTTGTTGTTGTTCTAAAAAAACTGTTAAGTGAAGGATTGATTGAAAGAAATGGGGCTCTTGAGAAAATGAGGTAAAATAATTTGTTTTGGTCTTGCAGATCAGAAATGCCATAGTTGAAGTCAATGGGAAGATGGGAACAAATTGCCTTGCTTGTTTTTGGAGGCTGTTCCCATCTGCAGTCAAATGTCAGTGCTGCATGTGGGATCAGTCCCAGCAAACTGATGTTGTGACAGTGTGTTTCTAAAGTAACCTATTTATGAATGAAATTTTTTGCCCTCCCTGGTGTGCCAAAGCTGTCCCGCCACAAGCACTTGGCCAAAGATCATTCTCCAGACCTGTATTCCCTGGAACTGTCTGGTTTGGAAGAAATTGGAAAACATTATGGAGAAGACTCTCAGCAATTCAAGGATGCTTCTCAGATTCTTGTAGATGCTTTGCAAAAGGTATGCTTTGTATCTAATGAACAAAACTCACACTGATATCGTGGAAGTCATTTTTTGGTTAACTACAAGGGAGTTAGCTTACTGATGTGTGTTCTGTTGTGAGGCTGTCACTGCATTAGTAATGGCTTCACTCACGCTTGGGTTCTGCTTTTGCTTATTGTTTTTTTTTTAATGCAGTTGTTATAAACTTCTCACTCTGTAGAATCATGTCAACAATTTTCACTGTGCTAGCTGTTTTTAGATAAAGGAGTAGGAATCTATTAAAACTTGTATAAACATGAGCTCCGTAGGTCTGTTTTCCCTAAACAAACATCTTTCGCTTCAAAACACCAGTATGTCTCACTGAGACTGGCCTAGTGAAATGTGAAAATCTTTTTGTTTCCAGTGTGCAGTGTTTAGTTTCCCCTTGCCACAAAGTTGTATAAATCTAAACTCCAAGGCTCTAAGAAATTAACTCTTTAGCTTATAGTCTTACATAGTGATTAGCTAAAACTCTTTGTTAAGACCTGACGCCAGTATGTTTTGAGTGTCAAAAATGTGATGGAGAAGTGTAAAAGCATGAATTTACCAAGTTGAATAACTGTTTAATCTAGGAGATGTAAGCCAGTTGAAACTTTGTTGGTGGAACACTATAACAGCGGTGTATTGGGTTTGTTTGTTTTTTAACAATTTCCCCCAGTCTTGATAATCCTGAAGCTGACATGTTATGGTTTATCTTGCTAACGAAGCCCTCTTTAGTTCCAGTTGAAGTTTTAAATTAAATCTCTTTTGCTCTTCCAGTTTGCAGATGAGATGTATAACTTGTATGGTGGAAATGCAGTAGTAGAAATGGTGGCTGTAAAGGCTTTTAATTCTCCCCTCTCAAGAAAAGCTCGCTCCATTCTCCAATCTTCACAGGTAGTATCTGCACTTGGTTCTCTGTCTTGCCTATTGAAAGCATGAATGCATTCAAACTGCATCACTTCCTTACTTGAGTAAAGCTTTGTTTTTTAAGCACTAGAATACTGACTGAGGTAGGCAAGTCTTCATTGACTTTCATGAGGCTCCTGTCAGCTCATTCCTTTGGATTCCATTAATGTCAGTCACAGAATCACTTCAGCATTTTGTGTCTTGGCATTGGAATCACTGGACAAAAATGCATCTCTTTTATTTAGACTGTTTGGATTTTTGATATAATCAGCACCTGTTTTGTATACAGGCAGACTTTAAAGTAATGCACTTATTTTCTTTGTTACAGGGTGATACAGATAATCCATATAACCTTGCCTATCCATATAACTACAACTACTCTGTAATCTTCAACATTATTCTGTGGATGATGATAGGCCTTGCTTTAGCTGTGATAGTCATCTCCTACAACCTCTGGAACATGGATCCTGGCTATGACAGCATTATTTATAGGATGACGAATCAGAAGATAAGAATGGATTGAACTAAACTGTATTCCAGCACAGGGGAATGATGAGTAAGATCTCCTTTAAGTTGAGTGAAAACAAATATGTGGTTAATTGTGGAATTTTAAAAGGTGTATTTATTTCTAAGTATCTTGTTTTTCCTCCTCTTAAGCCTATTTTAATAGTTAGTAAGTAGCACTAGATTGGATTTAGAAATTCAAATCTACTTGTTTAAAAAAGTAAAAATCCCCCAAACTAACTGTTATTAAAGTAACATCATTCCATTTTTTTTTTATCATGTTTTGGAAATGCCCTGCACTGCCTGTGACTGTGTGCAAAACAGATAAACTGAAATGATGATAGCAGAGTTGTTTGGAACTTTTCCACAGGGAGATGATGAGTTCTAGCTAAATTGTTGTGTTGTATATTATGAACCAGTTGTAAATGTTTGATGTAAATATTTATGATGTAACTTTGGAGAGGATAGTTATTATTCTTTAGTAATATATTAAATGCAGAAATATTTCTATGAGATTAGGAAACTAGTGGCAGAAATGGCATTTGGATCACATGATGATGGCTTAAATGTGAACTGCAGCTAAAATGGCTCGGCTTACCTTGAGTTTTAATGATTTGGAGATAGTGTGGCTGGTCTATACAATAGAGAGTCTAGAAATATTGAAATAGCACCAGTCTGATCATAGTTTAACATTGCATACAGCTAAAAGTTCCTGTTAGGATGCTTTGTATTCCTTCCATTGTGTTGATATTATTTAAAAAAAAAAAAAAAAGACTTCTTGATGATAAGACTGGACCAACACCTGATTTAAATATACCTGGATTGTAGTCCTGCTTCAATCATTCAATAAAACAAAGAACAGTTCCTGAATATGTTCACTGTTTGTTGATTCGTAGGTATGGCTGCTTCTCTTCAGTACTGCTGCCTAGCTGAGTGGAGCAGGTGCAGTCAGCTGTCTTTGTCTGACAGGGGGCCCATTTGAGATAGAGTAAGCTTTGAATTTTCCCATTACTGATTGATGGTTCTTATGTCCTGTTGTATTATTTCCTGTGTTCCTTAAGGAGATGCTCAAGCTCCATTTCTGAGATCTCTGCATGAACTTCCTGATCAGGTACATCTTTGCCACAACGTGCAGTTGTGCTGGGATGACCTCGTGTACCAAAAGAAATGAGGAGCTCATCTGTCCCCCAAGAATAAGTGTATCTTGGGGGTAAAAGATATTATATTGTGATTCTGGTAGGCCAAGTACTGTTGTGTCGCACATTTTGTAAGATAAAACAGGCTCTACAGCTACTGTCTGAGACCAGGACTAACAATAGTTTTGCAAACTGAGGTTAGCAGCTCTGATAGTGCCTTATCTTAAGCAAGGTGGATTGTTGGTTGCCTGAAAATCAGCTGTGGTAAAGCCTTTTTGGTGAGAATTTACTTCAGCTTGAGTTTCGTGCTGTTCTCCATCCAGTTAACGTGTTCCTAGCTCACTTGATTCAGAGTTCCTCCTCAGATTAGTTGTGCGCTTCAGATACTGACAAAGAGTTTTACAGAAGCCTATTGTTTAAGGTGACTGCATAATTAATTTTGTTTTAACATCTGCATTCCAGATATACCTGCATAGCTACAATGCATTCAGTTGGAAGTTTGCAATACTGAATTTGTTTAAATGAAGGACTTGCCATTGCATTGGTAATCCCTCAGAGCTCTTTTCCACCTTCCTGCTGTTGCTGCAGGCTCTAACTTTGCTTTTTACTGCTGCTTTCCACCATTTATTTGAAGGACACTTTCAAATTCCCACTTCCTGTGTTAGCAGTGCATTTGTTCAGTGCATTTGTGTGGCTGTGGGCCCTCGGTGGGTCCTGAAGGTGTTTTTGAACACTCCAATGTGCTTCTTAAATAACACTTGCTTTGTACAGGATAGACTACTTGTAGAACCACTGTAAAGCCATTGTGCTTTAGTTGGAGCAAGATGTTATGTTATACAGTAGAACTGATCCTTCACTAATCTAATATGTGATTACAATACAGGTTCCTGAGCCAGGAATGGCCTTCTTGCATTTAAAACTCAGTTAATTGAATAAAAGTGCTGTCTCCACCATTTGACCTACTATTGATCATTCCCTTTAGGTTTAATCTTCCTAAGATCATAAATTGCCGTATCACAAATCTTTTCACAGAAATTGCAGGTTTTGCAGACCCTCTTTCAGGAAAAGCAGTGAAACTGGCATGTGAAGCTCTGAGGACAACAGTGAGAGCAGAAGCCCACGGTTTTGTTTCCTAAGGAGAAATTAGCACAGTTTCTTCCAAGCACTCTCACAAAGCCGAGAGAGGGTGTGGAATCAAAGGATTCAGGATATACCTGCTGCTGGTGGAGAGCTGGCTGCCAAAGAGCCATCCCCAGGCAGCTGATCTAAAGGGAGCCTGGGTCAGATGTCTAGGTTCAGGCTTATTTTATACCTTGTCCAGTTGTAGGATGGGAGAGAATTAAAGTTTGGATATCTGTCCTCATAGTGTGCCAGCATTCATGAAAAAGGAGGGAAGTCTGAGGTGGTTGAAGCCTGAGTATTGCTTTTGATAGTTAGAAAAGAGAAAGCAAACCATAAAATAAAGGGTTCTTTAAGGAATTAGCATGCTGCTCTTTCTAGATGATCCTCCAAAGCCCAAACTCGGCAGAAAGGAGTTAATTTAGGCTCTGTACGCCTCAACACTCTGGGCTTCTTTGTGGCAACATGGCAGCCTTAAGAGTTCTTTCAGTTCTTGTACTGCTGTTGTGACACACAGGCAGAGGAAGCCCAAACCGGATCTGAAATATGCAAATGTTACATTAATTTAAAAAAGTACAAGTTAAGAAACCACATTGAAATGCAAATGTTGAGCAACTCTTCTGCTGCCTGCTGGGCTTTATAGGACGGTCTGAGTGGAGGCAACAAGGACACTGCTGGTGTGTAGGGAGATGAGCTTCTGTGTGAGAAAACATCTCAAACCAAAATAACCACACACAATAACAATGATCATTTGTATCCTATTGCTTATGCTGTTTTATGGCTGTGGTGAAGTGGATGGTTGGAGCTGAAACTCGTGGTTGATCTCTTGGGGAAAAAAAAATGGAAACAAGATTTCTTGATTGAGCAAGAGGTGGTGATTGGCACTTCTGATTTTTGTGGAGGGAGAGGTGGGGGAGCAGCATGCGCATGGTGGGCAGAGAAGGAGGCAGATAAGGGTGACTGAAGTGGAAGTGGAGGCTTTCACATCTCACAGAAGAAAAGACAGGAATAAATCAGGAACTCAGCATTTGTTGCCTGTCCTGTTCTGCCAGTAATGTGGGATGGTTCCATGGAGGAACTACACTTACTTGCAAGGCACTCAAAGCACAGCACTTCAGCAATTCTCAGCTGAAGGAGAGAGGAGCAATGAATGACAGCCAGCCAGTGCCTGCAGAAGCCATATCCCTGCAAGAACAGCTACTGCTGCCAAAAGCCCACCCAAGAGACCACACTCCTCTTAAATAAGACCAAGTGATGGTGTTGCACATCCCAGTAACCTTTGGCAGATCCAATTCCTCTGTGTCACAGTCTGTACCAATTGGCTTTCAGCAGTTCGGGTAGAAGAAAGCACTGAAGCAAGCCAAGACCAGGGACAGACAGGCAGTGCTCTGCAAGCAAAGCAATTCAGGTAAGTGTCTGTAATAAAATTATTAGGAATTCTACTTTCAAACAAGTCCATGAGGAATATCCAGCAGCAGCTATACTCAGAGTTTCTGGGGATAGCTTTTAGAATAGAAGTCCCATAGGGTCCCATAGAATAGAAGTTTAAATAGGGGCCGCACCACCAGTGTGCTCTCAGACTTTAAAACTATACTTACCTTGTTGAAGAAAAGTTTCACAGTAAAGGCCTGTGGCACTCAAATTTCATAATGCTATCGATGTCATCCAATGTTGTCAAAAATACACAGCTACCTCCTTGGCATGAATATACATCATAAAATTCCTTAGAATGTTTCATAGGGGAAACAAAATTAATGGTTGTACCAAATGATTTTATAAAGGTAGTCAAACCCTGCTTTCATTATGCTCTAGTGCATGAATTTATGATGACAAATGTGCATGCCTTTAATTTGGTGAGCATATGCTTTACATTAGGCCGTGGGGATAGAAGCAGTATGACCAAGCTGAATTCACAGTAATTTAACTGGTACCATACAGCCACTGCTGTGAGCTCACTGGCTGCTGGAGGACTTCAATGCTGCCTATCTGCTTGCCTGATCACCCCCTCTATTTAACATGGCTTCATAAAATGCTGTGGTCAGAGTGCCCAAGGAATTGATACAGTCTGTAGCAATACCCATATAATCAATTACAGCGTTTGAGCACAGCAGCACTAAAAGGGAGCTCTAACTACATCCTACAGCAGGTCATCAATCAAACTTTTGACTAATGTGCAGTAGCAGCTTGGAAATAAAAATCCATTTAAGTGATCAGACAGCTCTCAACTCTTAAGAATCATTTTCTGTCACCAAGTGCCTCAGAAGCAGGAGAAAAAAAAAAAAGGAAACAATATATAAAAAATGGAGGCCATTGTCTAAAGGAAGCACTTCTCTAAGTCTGCAGCTAATCCTGAAAAAAGTCACTGGATGTTTTTTAACTGATGTAATGCTTCGATATAAGCTATGTGAGGCAATGTGCAGCTCAGCCCCATAGAGAGCTTCTGGAAGGTGAGTGTGTCCTTGGGAACAGGGAGGCTCTGCTTGATGGTTGTGGGGAGTGATGTGGTCTCCCCTGAGCCTCCTTTTCTCCAGATTGAACAATCCCAGTTCCCTCAGCTGCTCCCCATAAGACCTGTGCTACAGACCCCTCACCTTGTGCTGCAGGGGGAATGCCAGCCTCAGCTGCCACCATTCCCAGCAGTGTAGGAGCCATTAGTCACTGTAGCCTACATCTGCCATTGGGCAGAAAAGAAAAAAAATCTAAAAAGCTCAAGTCTTTTAATCATACCTCCTGCCAACTTCCTTTATGGTTTTTCCTGTAATGTACAGCCTAACCAGCTAGGAAAAAAAAAAATAAATCCCCACCTTTGAGCAGGAAAGAAAATAATCTCCTCTGATAAATTTTTTCTTGTTGTTTCTCTTTTTCAAAGCCTTCCAACCTCTGCCTTTCTCTCCTTTAAGAAGTTCTTTATAATCTGCATCTCTTATAAGAGCCAGAGCAATAGAAATAAATAGACAAAAACATTCTGATAGAATGGAGGATTCCCACATCAAGCCCCTCACTTTCTTGGCACCTGATGTCTAATCTGTAATTTGTCATTCTCCAGTCAGAAATAAACTCTTCAGCTCTGGGCATCTCCTGTGAACTGCAAAATATAGTGCTTAAAATTACATTAAATGCTATGAAATCACACAGAATCGCATGGCCTGGGTTGGAAGGGACCTCAAGGATCATGAAGCTCCAATCCCCTGCTACAGGCAGGGTCACCAACTTCCACATTTAATACTGGATGAAAGGCCAGGTTGTGGCAGTGATAGGGCGGCAGAAGACTGCAAAGAGCAGGCATGATTCCTGAGCACATACAACAGAAGAAATAGGTGGAAAATCCCTCCAAAACTAAGCCTTGGTTTGGAAATGCAGTGCTGTTGTCATGTGCATTCAACTGAGTCCATCCATACCTACTGAGTGTACAGCAGAGCCAGGGAACAAGCAACTGCAATATGTTTCTTTCTACAATGATGTGAAAGTGAGGTGGGGGTCAGTCTCTCTTCTCCCAGGGAACACTAATAGGATAAGATGTAATGGCCTCAAGTTGTGCCAGGGGAGGTTCAGGTTGGATATTAGGAACAATTTCTTCTCTGAAAGAGCAGTGAGGCAGTGGCGCAGGCTGCCCAG